GAGATTTGATCCCACGAACTTACAGTTGAGAGTCCGAGAGCCTAACCAAGACCACCAACACAAGAATGTTACTGATATCATTTTCACATTTAGCTGTCAAAATATAAAATTGTCAGAGATAAATTTGTAGGTTCTTTACCTTATTTTGTGATATTATTGAATGATTGGGGATAAAACCGTGTAAAGCAGCTCATAAAAATTATGTTTTGGAAAAGTGAAAAAAAGTTGTACTTCTTTAGTTAGTCACTCCAATTAACTACTTTATCCTTCTTGCTTACAATGACCTTTAAAATTACTTGTAATTTCACCTTCAGTGTGCATGTTCATGTTCATAATAGTGTCAAAAAATGTTACTTAGTGATGATAAAGTCACTTTTTTCCAACGTCTGTTTGCGGTCTCAGGTGTTCCAGTGTCTGACCTGTCTGCACACAGCCAAGCATCATGAAGGTAGGGCCTTACACTCCTCCGAGCACCGTGCTAAGTATAGAAGGATCAGAAACTTGTCTGAAGAACTTGTTGGTGCAAACTTGGTTTGCTTATCGATTAAAGGAAAACATCATTGGGGTGAATTTAATCCAGGGTCATCAGTGACATAGCCCAGCATGATACAAACTGAACTAATGGCACGTCAACTACTTTTTTTTCTTTTGTAGAAGAATCTCTGTTTTTCTGTCTGACAATATTCAGTTCTGTGTGTGTGTGTGTGTGTGTGAAGTATATAGTAGGAAAGTTGAGTCTCAACTGCATTGCATGTCGGATGTATTCTGTTAATTGATACGCTTTCCTTTTCTTTTCCAGATGAGCCTGCATATCCATACCTGCGCACTCTCCTAAAGTTTGACACTCGAGAATTCCTGAATGTTTTGGCTCTCGTAAGTTGCATACTTAGCTCCGCACCATGCAGTTTGTCATTCTAATTGTATTTGTAATGCTTTCTTTTTTGGAATATCCCCATTGACACAATTTAGATCATATTATCGGAGGCTGGCTTCTGACCCTGCTTGTCAGGGCCAATCCAAGCTGAGAGAGATACAACATTCCATCAAAATGACCAAAATGCTCGAGAAAAATTTCTTTCCGCCTGGGAGTCGTAAGCTGGGTCTTCTGTTTATGACAGTAACGTGCCTTACCACTACTCCACAGACGCTGGTCAGATTCTATTCGAAAATAATGTTTGTTTGCAGTCGTTTACACCCTCTTTTCTTCTATTTTTTTCCTGACTTGTTCATTCAGTCTTCTAATGATTGTAACAGTTTATTTACCTGCATCTCTTGTTTGTGTGGACAGTTGGATCATGCTGCTGGAAAGTCCTACTTCTTTATTTCTCTCATCTCTGTCCTGAGGCTTTACCTTTTCCAAGACATTTTTAAGAGTCTGTCATTTTTTTTTCAATGTTCTTCTCTTTGCTCAAACAATTTTAAAACAATATTCTTTATCTGATGGGATGAACAATTTTTTGGTTCGTTTTGAATTGGTTCAACATGCATTTTAAAGAATGTTTTTCATCTCAACTTTTGATTTTCTTTGATTTATTTCATTACTAGATGATGTAGGCCTATCATTGCCAGTAAACAGTGTGATTCTTTGTGATCAATATGCCATAAGTCCTCAGTTTGTATTCTTGTTGCTTTCCAGGCCTTTGAGGAGCCAGAGTTTAACAGTGAAGAAGGGTAAGGTAGTTTAATCGTACTATTTCCCTTGTACTGTGTATGAATGACTGAGATTATCAATCGACCTTGTTGATTATTTTATACGTTCCAAGATTTTTCATTTTGTGAGTTTCATGCTTACTTGATTTTATTTTCTTTGAACTGTACATAGAACTTCAAATGTGAACCAATTTTTATGAATTTTAAGTTCAATTGAGTCTTAACTCTGCTGTGAATTGGGCAGACATTTCAGAGTTTCAATTTAGCTGCAGTTGTGTATATTTCCTCCTTTCTTTGCCTCAGTATTTTAAGCAATGTTCGTTGTCTGTCTAATGAAAGAGTGACAGCTATTTTTTTATATTGAGTCTAGCTTTCCCGTTCTAACCAAGTCCCATATTTCTTAGTCTGAATATGTTTTTGCTTTCCCAAATGCAGAATTCAAAAGCGTCAGCGTGTGGTGGACATTTTACTTCAAGTCATGGTTGAGAGTGTTGGTTTCACAGTAAGTGTATCATTTTTTTTACTTCTTTGTTTTAACTTTTAGTTTTGCTAAGTCCCAGCTGAATCAATGCCGGAACAGGGACTATGGCCTTGTAGCGCATATCGACTGCTCAGTCGAAAACTTCGTCATAGGTCCCCAGACCTGTCAACTACTCTGATTTTATTGTAATTGCTTCGATATTTTTATCATTTTGAATGACTCCGACGGAATATGCGAAACTCCGATTTTTTTCCCGAGCCGAGAAAACTCGGCCTAATGTGGATCGGATGTCTCATTGATTAAAAAAATTGGCCAGGAAAACCCTTAACCCGTCACCCGCTCGCGGCCTGATCACGCTGTTGGTCTACAGCACACAACATGTGAACCTAGTAACGCGCTTGCTGTGGATCTACGTCACACAGCCCGGAGCGGGAACCGCCCATACTGTATAATTATGTACACAGATGGCCTCAACCTCTACTATGGAAACCTTTTGTCCACGAACTTTGATGGGTCAGGTTTAAAAACAATAGCCAATCAGATTCCAACTTTTATTCCGGGGGGAGCGTGCCTAATTACTTCGTCACGTGACGGCTATTTTTTTATATTGAGTCTAGCTTTTCCATTCGTCACAAACAACGAAAGTGACGCTATCGCAACAAAAAAGTCCGGATGTTAAGTTAGATGCTCCTTTTTTTTTCTTCACACTCCTTTTTTTTCCCATGAAAAATCCTATTTTTTTCTGGTAGAGGTTGGCAGGTCTTGTTCACTTTTCAAAGTGGCATATGGTGGAGTCTTACAAGAAGCAGTCAGTATGAAAGCTTCTTTCCAATGAATATTTGGCTGTTGAAGAGAAAACATAAAGTATCCTTCAAATGTTTCCGTCCTGATTCAGTTTGAGAAGCAAGGTCAGTTTCATTTTTCAGGCTAATTTGCTTCATAAAAAAATCAATATTTTGGTACCTAAATGTGGCAACAAAATGAAAAGGAAGGACACCAGATGTGGTTTTTGTACAAGCCTAAAAGTGTTTGAAATGATTGTGCCATAAAAATGTAATGTTGCAGCAATATCATTATCTCCAAGTATGTTTTTCCTCCTTGACAGCCTACACAGATTGGAATCCTCTTCACCTTCCTGGCCCGCCAGATGGCACGACACGAGAACACCATCGTGGTCAACAGGGTACTATTTGAGCAGGTGAGACTGATATTTCTTTGATGGTTGATCATATGGGCATAAATGGTTACAATCCGTCTCATTTCGGTTTGGCATTTTATCAGGTCAATATTATAATATCTGATCAGTTTATGTATTGCCTTGGAATAGACTCATTCAAATTTGTCTTTCTTTTTTTTTTTGTGTCACATTTTTTTTCTGTTCAAATTGAAATGGACTTGTTGAAATATTTTTTTTACTTGCTTCAGCAAGTGAAAAAATAAAATCAAGAATATGTTTTTTTTCTTCTTTTTTTTTGTCTGACCTTTCTTGATTAAAACAAAAAGTACCTTTCTTTCTTAATTCGATTTCAAAATTAATTTATTAATCAATTTATTAATTGCCAGTTATCCTGTATAGAGTGCTTTTTTGTGCTTTCTGATTGTTTACTCTTTTGTATTGCCAAGTGCTTTGTTTTGAAATGACTTACACTGTAGGACTTTTTATCCCTCTCCATCTAAGTCAAATCAGTGCAGCAACTATTTGGAGCAAGCTAGTTTTATCTGTTTGGGAATGATATACAAGTTCAGACCTCAATTGAAGCCAAGGCAGCTTCTCGCACTAGGTAGAACCTGTACAAAGTTTGAGACCGACCAGCAATGGGAATATTCCTTTCTGAAGTACCTATCATGAGAAGTTGTGAGGTGCAGATGTTTACCTGAGAAGATTTAAGCTTCATTAAAAACTACATACTGTCATGGTTTTGTCCAAAGTTAATTTTTTTCTATTTTGGATACGAAAAAAACATGCTTATTTGATTAAAGTTGATTACTCAGGCCAATCAGAAAACAAGATTTTAGGGGTTAATTTATTGGCACCTTTTTTAACGAAGATCATAAATGAAGACATATGTGAGGGTGCCTTGATGATATTTACATTTGGCCTTGGTATGACTTCACTCATTCCGGCCCGAACAATGTAGTGTGTGTTGATAGTGCGACACCCATTTGTGCTAACAACACAAGTTGTATTGACTGGTATATCGCCCAGTACTAATTTTTAATACTCAAACTATGTCTTGAACAATCAAGAGAAGTTGCTGCAATTTTTTTCCACTCTTAGTTTATTTTTCATTTGTTTGTGTACAATTTTATTTCATGGCTTCTGCCATTTTGGTAATGGTAAAATTAATGTTGGCAAAGTCTGTCAGAATGCACAGGCCTAGTGAAAGAGTTGACTCCATGTAGCTTGCGGTTGGAAATGCTGTGTAGGTGATCAGCTGTCAGCGGTCAGTCAGACTCCTTTGCAACAACATTGGATAATTTCTACCTATTGCCGAAAAGAGGTCTCTCTTATCGAGAATTCTTTCATTAGATGAAGAACTACCGAAATAGGTTCATTTGTTTTTGATTTATGACCTATTAAGTGACATGCATGTAACTCTCAGGTTTTATACCAAAAGAGGGCTCGGCATAGTAAGAAAACCCCCTTCAGGAGAAAAAGAGTTATAAGTATTCATATGACCTAAGAGCATGCATCAGAATACCATTCAGAACTAACCCCCCCCCCCCCCCCCCGGGGCGATGCCACTGACTGAAATGTCTTTAGGCCATTCCCAAATGGGGGACATATCTCGTTCTAATGCACAGTAGAATTGTAAATGGGCTGATCTAACAATGTCGTGCTCATAATTGTGCCTGAACTACAACATGACACTGCTGCTTTTTCTTTCCTAATCCTTACTATCGTCATTTTGCTCTACTTCTTTTGTATCTTTGTCACTCTCTTGTGACCTGCTATTTCTGGGGTGCCTTGATAGTCGAAGCAGACTTTGTGCTGTTGAAGCTAGAGAGGTGATCAGAGTAAGTCTGATTCCCTATAAGGACTTCTCTGTTGACATCCACCTCGTGGCGCTCATATTACCTTATGCAGTTGCGAGCACCGTAAAACGTCTACTAAAACAAACCAATGAGAATTACAGTCAGAATACATGTATTGAGTATGTATCTAGCTTAACATTATTATTGTTTATATTACTGTTCATTTATATTATGCATGTGACTGTAAGCCTGTTTGTGAATGCAAGCACACTGTGTGTGTGTGTGTGTGTGTGTGTGTGTGCATGTTTGTGTGTGTGTATGTGTGTGTGTGTGTGTGTGTGTGTGTGTGCGTGTATATGTATGTGTGTACTTGGTGAAACACCAAACCAATGTGCCAGGATCAGAACAATAAAGATGTATAGATTGTGAAGCGCTTAGAGCTTGCTGTTGAGCGGGGATTTGCACTATGCAAATGCTATCTATTATTATCTTATCTTATCTGAACACCATGACAATACTTTTCCCTCAGGTTCTGGAGTTCTTGGCCAACCCGGAGGACGAGTCTCGCCACGAGGAGAGACAGCAGGCCCTGATGGAGCTACTGCAGGCTGGGGGGCTGGCTCAGTTCAACGAGGGCAGGCTCCTCAGTCTAGCTCACACTGCAAAGTTGTGAGTGGCCTTGGCTTCTTTTTCTTCTTAACAAAAGGAGCGATCCTTGAGGACCATTTTCTATGTTTTTTGCCCGAGATCAAATCTAAGTACACTTATAAGTTAGGCATAGTTAAATCTCTTGATTCGCAATTTTATTTTGGCGTAGCTACAGCGGTTGCTATGGAAACAGCCGCCATCTTGAAAATGTACAATGAATTTCAAATCCCTAAGGCTTTCTTATTTACTGACCAAATTTGACCAAATGCTGTTACATGCAGGGGGCCCGGGTTTGATTTTGGAGTGGGGAGAAATTTTTATGAAGTATCTTGGTCTTTCTGCTGGGATGTCGTATCTTTCTCAGCCGAGGTTGGCTCTGACAGGCAGAGCTGGAAGCCCACCTCCTAAATGATCTGAATTGTGTGGATGGAGGCAGAAAAACACCTACATTTAAAAAAAGACTTCAGCACCTTGTGCATACAATGATCATGTTTTGTGTCCCCAGCTATCGTGTTTGTGAGTACCTGTATGAGAAGAAGCGTTCTTACGACAAGATCTTGACCTGCTACCTAAGGGATCCTGCACGTAGAGTGAGTTTTTCTCATAATGTTTCTGATTGCTTTTATTCCAATTATAATCTACACTTATGGCATATTGCATTGCTAGTCCATCAGAAAGACAATCTGAGGGAAATATAGGAAGTCCAGTTTACCAACAACATTACACAAACTTTGTTTGTTGAAAAAGCTGACTGTGCCTCATATTTTTAGGTTATATTCTGTGTGCATCAATGCTTTGACAATGTTGTGGTAGTGAGCTTGAGTAAGGAGAGAAAGAGGTGGACAGACATAGAGGCAGAAACAGACGGAGGGTGCTAGGGGTGAAAGGGGGGTGGGGAAGTCCTGTGAAATGTATGGTGTGTGGGTGCGTGCGTGCATGCATGCATGCGTATGTGTGTGCATATGTGTATGCATGCCATGCAGTGGCTTGTATTTCATGCTGCAAAAGCAGGTGAAAGAAGCATACTGCCATCTTTTTATCAGTGAGGTGTTATCTTTTTTTTCCCCAATGTGTTTCCTCCTCAGTACCATGTGTTCAACTACATTGACAGCATCATGCAGAGCCCATCTTGTCTGCCCGAGGAAAAAGATGCGCTCAAAGCTGAGGCTCTGAAAAACTTGGAGGTGAGATGTAGGGCTGACGTGTTATTTAGCATATACATGTATTGCCAGTTGTTTTTTGATTTTGCTGGTTTCTAGTTACTGGGTTGAAGATGTGGTATCATCACAGTCCAATTTCATCCATTGTTTGTCCTACATCTTTTATTCTACCAAATAGTTGGTGTGTAGATTTTTCACTTGGTCTGCCATGTTACTACCTTGTCTTTATTTTTTGATAATGTAAAAAGAAAGGCTTCATTTTCAACATGTTTTGTAGTCAAAGAATTTGAATAAGATTTACTTTTGCAAGATAAGGGACATAAGAGCTCTGTTTTGGATAAGGTACTATATAGAAAATAGAGGGAAAATAATTTTATGTAGAAGTTTTTCTGCACATTTTTTGTTAATAGTGTTTAGGGTTCTTGATGTTGATGTCTGAACATAAAATTTAGAGATCACAACTTTCCATCATCTATGAAATGTGTTGTAGCTTTGGAAAAAATATGCAAAAGATGCTCAGGGTATCTAGTTATAGACCCACCTTACCTGATATTGTTTGAAAGTTAATTTTTCTCTTCTTTTCAAATGTGAACACCACGTTGTTTCATCATAATATTAGCTAGAAATATTGCCTTCATTGAAAAAATGTTTTTCTTAACTTTGCACTGAGAGTAGTTCCTTACCTAAAATTACCATACCTTGGTCTAAGATTGCTATATTATTATAGTTGAATGTTAACTGTGGCTGGCATGGAAATAAGCATTTTATTTTGCTTGCTCTGTTAAAAATGCAATAAATCATGATGTACCTAGTGTCATCTGTCCCTACACCTACACATGACAGGGGCACAGTTTTGTTATTCTAATTGTCCCGTGTCCAGGACTTGGTGAGCCTTAACTGCTCTTTATCAAATTACGGGTGGATATGTATTTGAAAGAATCGTTATACATTGAATGGGCCAGTATACATGAAGCGTTAATTTAAATCTTATTTTATTTCAAAGTGTTTAGAGCCACCAGAGAGTGGGAGATTTTGAATTGATTTTTATTATTTTTGTTATTATTATTATTATTTATTATTATTATTATTATTTGTATTTGTATTTGTATTATTATAATTTTTATTATTATCACTATTATTTTATTATTATTATTATTTTTATTGTCATTATCATTATTATTGTTATTATTATTATTATTATTGTTATTGTTATTGTTTTTAATATTATCATTATTGTTATTGTTATTACTATTGTATTATTATTATTATCATTATTATTGTTATTATTATTGTAATTGTTATTGTTATTATTATTACTAAATCTCTGTGGCCAGGACTTGGTGAGCATTGACTGCAAGCAGGCGGCAGGGACGGTCCTCTCGTGTCTGACCAGCGGTCTACTGGAGGTGCTGAACAAACTGAAGGGGAACAAACAAGTACTGTTTGACTTCCTGCAAGGTGTCATCACATACAGGTCTGTCAGGACTGCTTACTGGTTGTTTTTTTTTCTAGAAAATGTGCAAAATTGTTTAGGTTTACCAAAGAGTCTACATAATAAGATGGGCCACTTCTCTCTTTGAGCCAATTAAAAAAGTGTCCTCAAAATTCGGTGGCGCCCTCTTCGCAAAAGCGCACATTTAGCGAACAGAGTTATCCCACTTGAGTTTAAAAAATCAAAGTGAAACTAGCAAGTTTTTGAATGAATTTCGGAAGAACGCTTTTTTAAAATGGCCAGGCTGACAAAAAACCTCTTCCGGAGGAAAGGGTGATTGTTTTCTTCGTTTAATTTGACTTTAGAATGAAAGGCGAGAGGTCATTAAAATTTAAGAAAACTAAAACTCCGTACTGAACGAACCCGAACTGCTGATGAACAGCAGTCGATCTGCGCACGTAAGGAGGTGCTATTCCTATTCTTCTTCTGGGAAAACGAAAGAGAGCTTCAAAACAGACTGCAGCGCCATCTGAAGCAAAGAGCATACTTCCTGCGGACACTTTTTTGGCTGAGTGGCCCATCTTGTTATTTACTATCTTTGGGTTTAATACCCCTTTCAACACTGTAAGGTCATTTAAGAGGCAGTGTTTTTGTCTTAATATGTTGGTGGTTGGCGGTTACTCTGATGTGGTTTGCTTCTTCTTTCCTATCAAACATCTATCATCTTTATCTCCCCTCCTTTTTTTTCGTGTTTGTTACTCTCTTGTAACACCTCTTATCTTCGGCACTTATATGACCTTATTGTGTTGCAAGTGCTGTAAAACACTTACTAAAACTAAAAGTCAGCTGGCTCTCCGTTAGCTCATTTGGTATTATGCTGGGCTATAGAGCAGATGGACCTTGTCCGAATCCCCAATGGAAGGTTCTTGAACTTGGGTTTTATTGGGGAGGTTTTACTGCTCACCATCCATTTAGCGTTCTCCAGTCAGAGATTGATGTTCTGTGAACCTTTCAGTGTTGAAAGGGAACTTTTGCAAAAACCACTATAACAACTGGTGCCTGCGCCTGTAGTGTTATGATTTGTCTCTTTACCTTGCGTGCAGATTACATGAGTTCTATTAATACCTGGGGAAATTTGATTTGTCTTGTATTTTCTCTCAGTTTTGCTCAGGGGTGAATTCAGAAGGAATGTACATGATAAGAACAGAGCTTCATTTACATCACTTGGATAAAATATTATTTTGTTTGTTAATTATGATAGAGGGTGTGGTGGCGGAGTGGTTAGTGCGCTCGTCTTCAAAGCGGAATGTCCAGGTTCGAGCCTCGATTCGGACACAGATTTTTTTCGCCCCCTCCTGCTCACCCAGCAGTAATCGGTACCTGACTTCGAGTTTGGGAAGTAAAGGTGGCATGGAAAGGAACTGGCCACCCTACCACAATATGCCGAAGGCCCAGGAAGTTGTCTCACTAGCAAGGCGATCCCCAATGTCCGGATCGGATTCGGGAACAACTTTACTTTTTAAAATTATGACAGTGGAGCCATGAAAGTTCAATCTATGATAGAAAATTAATTATACTACCATCAAAAGATGATATGGTTACAAGTACAAATAAAATGGACTCCAAAATAGTGTAGGGTCAAGCAATAAAGGGGTTGACCTTTGCTGTAAACAAATATCTTTTAAAGATGACTAACTTTGTAACATTAAAGACAGATCATGTGGAATAAAGGTATAGAATATAGTAGTGTTAGGTAGAGTCATAGAAATGTATTAATGTGCTGTGATTTCTAACCCTTGTAGAAAATAGAAACAGTGTAAGATAAAGTTATGAAATTACCTTAGTGTGTGTCGATTTCATATTTCTCTATACACGTTCTCAGGGATGCCCAAAGCAGCGCGCTCAAACCGGAGAAGCAGATACATCTTGAGCCTCAGGTGCTGGAGCTGTATGTTGACCTTATGTGTGAGTTCAAGCCTCAGGAGGTCTGTAACTTCATCAAGATGAATGAGGGATACCGCCTGGAAGAAACTTTACAGGTATTATCCTTGTTGTTTCTACAAGGGAATTTGTACGTGGGTTTGTTGCACTCCTACCATATACTCTATTAAAGCGGAACTCACCAATTGCATTTTTTTTTTTTTTTGCCGTTGAAGAACCCCAATCAGATTTCGCATAATATCTAATTTTTTTTTCTTGAATACCTTTTCAGTCTGGTCATATGCGACCTATCACTCATGATGTGAAAAGCGTGTATTTGCAATAAATGTTTATTTCCTCTGATCGGTTGCTATGTAATCTATCTGCTAGGGTTCTGGAGGATCCATTTTTTCCTGAAACTCGAATTTTTGGGGAGGATTCTAAGGAAAATTCCTGTCTTTGGTTGCGGAGTGGTTTATGGGTCTGGTTTGATGATCCGTCTGGCATGGTCTGTTCCTTCTTCTTCTAGGCGTCTTGTTAGTCGCCTTATTATCTTTATCTGTTTTAGGTTGTTGGAGGGTACGACTTGTAGGTCTAATATGTTCTGTTCTTTCCCTCTGTTGCTTCTGTCTTTCTTTCTTGCTTTTCTCCAGCACTAAATGCTTTTCTTTACTCAAACAAATGTCATCTGTTCCTAGCCAAATATAATGCTGTTTTTTTGTCACTGAATCCAAAACTCCTTTTGAAAGTCTTTGTTTGGTTAATTGTCTAGCTCTGTTTATAGACAGCTGAGTCAGATGTTTGCTTAAAAAGCCAGTAATTTTTAAATGAGATAATAAGTTACAGATACATGTAAAGTTATCTTCTTTTTTTTTTTTTTTTGAAACCAGTGTATTCTTTTTTTTCCCTAGGGTTTGTAGCTGTAGTTGGTTTGTTTTTTAAACAATTTTTTACATTTTTGACTTTGGTTCAAAGCTCCATGTTGTGTTTACTAGTACGTAAGAATGTTGAACTGACTTTGTATATATTTCATTTCACTATTTATTCCAGATTCACCTTTTTTAAAAGGGGCGATAAGAGGGCCCGACTAGCCTGTCCTGTTTCTGTTCTTTCCCTCTGTTGTTTCTTTCTGTTTATCTTATTTGTTCCTGCTCCTAATAGCCGTTACCGTGTGAATGTTCTTTTTTCTCCAGTCAGAACTGTTGTTTTTACCCCTCTTCCTCTGTCTCCAGATTGTGCGGAAACACAAGGCATGGGAGGCAACTGCCTACCTGTTGGAAAAGGCAGGAGATATACAAGGGGCTTTCAGGATTTTGTTAGAGGTAGGTATGACAAAGTTTATGATATGGTTTATTTTTCAGTGCACAAAGCTGAAATTGAAGTCTTTTTTCTTTCGATAAATCTCAGAGAAATTTGCCCTTGTAATTTGCTTTGTTCCCATGGATTTATTTGACTGAAGTTCTTGTCAAAAAGTCTAATGTTAAAAATGAAGGCTCAAGAAAGTACACCCCTCCACCTATATTTTGGTGATAAGAGTATTTATAGAGAGCACATGATCTTTTAGGGTGTATTAATCCTTCTAGTTTTTTCAGTTATTTTGATGTTGATTGTTTATTGAATCCCTTTCATGTTTCAGAATTTACAGAGTAATTTGAAGAATCTGAGTCAACAACTGACAGAGCAGAAGGCCGATTCTGCAGGTATTCATTTAAGGAAACAAGTAAAATTTAAAACAATTAAAATGAGATATGGTAGGATGCATTTTGTCCTATCAACTGTTGGGATGTTTGAATAGAAAAGGTTCTTGTATCAGGTATTTTTTTAATGGGTCTACTAGAGGTGTGTTGGTAATTGTCTCAAAATGATTTTTAAAAAACAAAAAAAAACTCACTCGTACATTTATTAAAAATATGTTTTAGAAATTTGGTTTATGAAAGCGTCTTCATGTGGGACTGCCCATTCATTATATTCTTACTATTGCTCATTTTCAACTATTTTGAATTCTCCTTTACTTCATAGGGTGAGTGTATTTGAGAAAGAATCGGACATCTTACTTTAAAAAAAAAAAAGAAGAATGAATTTTATAGCCTGTCAGTAATTTTGTGTCCCTGTTTGTCATGTAGAATTTCATATGAAAAGGGTTAAAACGTATTTTTGTCATGACAGAAACTTGATGTTTTAGCTTGGAAATTGATTTTAAAGTGTAGTAGCGTACACAACTTTTTGATTTTGCTCAAGTTGCATCCCCCCCCATCTTTGCTTTCTGTTTCCCCAGGAGTGATGGTGCTTTTCTCCAAAGCAGAGACCCAGCTCTTTGTGGTGGTTCAACTGTGCCAGAGAAACTCGGGCAAAATTGATGAGGCCGCCAGGGAGGTCAGTGGCCGTCGTCCTTCCCGTACATTTCTTTCCCTTTCTTTTTCCAGTCTCTGTTTTTTGTCTGTCTCGTCTTACTTTTCAACGTCTGTCCTGAAAAAGCCTGAGTAGTCTTACTTTTCTTCAAAAAAATATTCCTTCTATATTGTGATGTTCAATAACTTTTCTTTAATTTTGTTCTGATTTCATTGAGAAGGAGAGGCTGAGAACTAGGTGTCTTGAGACAGTGACTTTTTTTATTAGGATTTTTTAATAGCTATAGCTTTTCTTTTGCTTAATTCAGTTGCAAGCAGCGTAAAATACTTACAAAAAAAAAAAAAAGAAGGAAAACTGTATTCTGATTCCAGTGAGAGTGAAGAAGCTATAAGAACTGATTAGGTATCTAGTGACAGTGATTTTTTTTTCTGTATAGATAATTAGCGATGAACTACTTTGACATTTTGAACCCTTCTTTTCTATATTGTAAGTTGGGAGTTGAACTGAAGCGTGCTCCTGCCATAGTTCGCTAAGTTAAAAAAAAAATAGTTTTTCAGTAAACAGCTTTATCTTTATCACTTTCATTAAGACGGCCTTACTCTTTGTTTTCTGGTGTTTACAATATTTTTTCTCCTAATAGCAGTCACATTTTTATTAGAATGACAAAATCGTCACTTACAATAAATTGTCATTTACGACTGATTATACCTGGTCTTTTGACACAATCTGGCTAGAGGATTCAGACCAGGGGGAGTAGATTTTTTTTCTTTGAATTTTGTTTCACCTCTCTCTGGCTCGTGAGGAGAGGGGGC